TGCTTATATACTCCCTTCCTAGGCGGTTTAGTCTTTCCATTTCGCCCAGATTCGAGTTTAATGGGAATCTTCCATTTATCTCGATCTTTCCTTTTTTCCCGCGGAAATCTTCTATTTATCCTCAAACTTGACATTTATCTTCAAGTTTGACATTTATCTTCTTTCTGCGAGTAAATCGCCAAAACGTCGTCGTATCTTCTGGTTGGACTTTGTTTAAAGCCGCGAATGGCTTTTATCGCGTTTTATGACTTTCCAAGCCGTTTTGCGATAAATCCGTTTTATGACTTTAGAAGAGATCGTTTCCTGATACGATGCCGTTTTTAGATAAGTTTCTCGAGTTAATCGTAAAGCTAAACAATGTTCGATGTTTCGATTAATCGTTGCCGTTTTCTACGATTTACTCGGAGTTTTATTAAAAACGCGTTTTGTACGATTTTTACGAAAAATCTCGAATCAATCGTACAGTTTAGGCAATATTCGGTGTTTCGTTTAACCGTTGCCGTTTTATACGATTTTCTCGAGTTCTTTTCGAGAAAACAAAGTTTTACGGTTTTTCTCGTAAAACTCGAACGATAGGACGGATCGAGACGAAACGGGATACATTTCGACCGTGATTCGGAATACGATCGTGTCGAAGGACGTATGCCTTGAATCAAGGATGTGGGAGATCGAGACTCGGGATGGTCGGCTCGACGTACGGCGAGCTAGTTCAGCTTGGCCAGGTCGCCATATGGTGATCTAGGCGATACGAACCTGTGGGGCAAAGTCAGCACCTCTTAGTTCGCAATTGGGGAGTCTCTAGTTCGCCTGCTGGCGAACTAAGCCAGCTTGGCTTAGTTCGCCAGCAGGCGAACTAGCCGGGAGGTTCCTAGTTCGCTTGCTAGCAAACTAAGCCGAGCTGGCTTAGTTCGCCAGCAGACGAACTAGTCGTGACTAGTTCGCGTTTTGCGGCGGTTTCGGTTTTTTCGCGTTTTATAAAACGATCTTCGAGTTTTATAAAATGATTCTCGAGTTTTATAAAATGATTCTCGAGTTTTATAAAATGATTCTTCGAGTTTTTATGAAACGATCTTCGAGTTTTATAAAATGATTCTCGAGTTTTATAAAATGATTCTCGAGTTTTATAAAATGATTCTCGAGTTTTATAAAACGATTCTTCGAGTTTTATAAAACGATTCTTTGAGTTTTATAAAATGATTCTTCGAGTTTTATAAAACGATTGTTCGAGTTTTATAAAACGATTCTCGAGTTTTATAAAATGATTCCCGAGTTTTATAAAACGATTCTTCGAGTTTTTATAAAACGATCTTCGAGTTTTATAAAACGATTCTCGAGTTTTATAAAATGATTCTCGAGTTTTAGAATACTATTCTCGAGTTTTATAAAACGATTATTCGAGTTTTATAAAACGAATCTTTGATTTTTATAAAACGATTCCTCGAGTTTTATATAACGATTCTTTGAGTTTTATAAAACGATTCTCGAGTTTTATAAAACGATTCTCGAGTTTTATAAAATGATTCTCGATTTTTATAAAACGATTCTTCGAGTTTTATAAAACGATTCTTCGAGTTTTATAAAACGATTCTCGAGTTTTATAAAACGATTCCTTGAGTTTTATAAAAAGATTCTCGAGTTTAATAAAACGATTCTTCGAGTTTTATAAAACGATT